TCTTCATGTACATCAAATCATAACGGCCTGTTGTTTGAAATTCTATAATCTGATTACATATCTTCACAAGATATTCCTTTTTGGCCCTGTCCGTGGCTCTTTNACATCCTGTTCTTTGAAATTCTATAATCTGATTACATATCTTGACATTGTTGACATTCTTCCATTTCCTTCGCTCCTCCATTTTACTCATCATCTCCTGTGTAACCCATGGTTTTCTTGCTATCTTCTCAACTTTACCAACCAAATCACTGATAGTATCTAACATGCATTCTTTTATATTGTTCCACTGCACTTCAGCATTTCCGCTTTCACCTTCAATTGCACCGAGTTTCTCTTCTAGGGTCTCCCGCATGCTTTGTCTTTGAGCATATAACTTCTCCAAATCCTATCTAGGTCTGCGCTTTTGGATTCTTATAATTTTCTTCAACCTGGTTCGGAACTTGGCAACCAGTAAGTTGTGGTCAGAGTCAATATCTGCCCCAGGCATCGTCTTCACATCCTTCACACTGTGCTTCATTATATTAATGAAAAATATGAAACTGTATCCATATTCTGTTCAGATACTGACCTGGAAACGAAGTTAAGGTCTGCATGAGCACATGGTCCTAAGGGCAACAGTTGCCAGGGAACAATGGACAAAACAGTGAACACAGCATTAGGTCTTAGATTAATATGTGCCTAATGGCATGCTGAACTGCTTATTTCTGTGTCATAAGTGTATGCAAGAAAAATCACCAGTCAGTATATTATGTTAAGAGCCAATTGTAGGGTAATTAGAAAATAATGGATTGGGAAGGATGCAGAAAGAGGCAGTTGTGGCCTAATTTGCAGTACTACCCTGGCACTTTTCTGGAGATACAGAATAAATGCACAAAAAATCTCTAATGGGATAGTTGGTGACAAACCCAAGATTTCAACCAGGCATCTCAGTACATGTCAAAAGTGTTACTGCTTTAGCCAGCCTACTGTAGAGAATTTATTACGTACTGTTGCATGTTAAGAGTGAATCTCAATAGGGTTTTGGATTGGATATTGGATTGATTGACCACTTACAGATTGTAACTACATGTAACAATAAGTCTCACTGAATTACACACTGCAAATATCACTGCAACTATAACACACATCTGCCTTCACTAGATGTTTTCTGGTAATAGTAATGGATTTGAACACTGGCACTCACATCTTTACCATCTGGCAAACACCCCATAACTGAACTAAGCTCAAACTTGCCCCATTGATAACCCCTCAGCATGGATCCCATAGAATGCACAGCTCTTCAACTGTTGCTGCAGAGGCATGTATACCACGCTGTTGAGTAGTAGGCCACAGAACACATCACTTCCAGCAGGTCCTTTGTTGTTGCATGTTGATTCACTGCCATGGAAACATATTTGTTTGCGATGGTTACCTACTAAAAGGTCTACATGCCACAATATTTTCTCCAGTTTCCATCTGCTCATAAACCCAATTTACAGGTGTTGACATGTCACACATT